CATGCTGGGTAGGAACAGTGCTGAAAATCACTGGCTACTGGCCACTAATACATCTGAACAGGAAAAACACAAGTGAAACCAGAGCCTTGCTGAAGTCAGGGAAAATTTCACCATTTGACATGCTGCAAAGCACCAGTTGCCAAGCCCAAGTTCAGTCCAATGTTGTTAGTACAGCTCTAGGGTGTCCATCCCAGTTTTGTGACAGTCCCTGCTCGTAACCCCTTGGGCTCAAGCTCTGGCTTGCTGGCTGTGAAGCTGAAGTTCTATCACCCATAAGAGGACTGCCTGGCATAACTCAGTTAGCACCCCCTGAAACATCTCTCAGTGTAGAAGGCTGCCAGGATGTGTGAGGGTAAAGTTTCACCCTGCCGTGAAAGGCAGGATTAGTATGTTCAGTGCTGAAATACACGTTTTCCTATTTACAACCAGAGTGCCAGATATAAATTACTAGCAGAGGGAACAGAGGATTTAGATCAGGGGACCTCATTGATGCAAAATTGCTTTAATTCCAGCTATTTATCCCAAGAGTGATGTTTCCTGGTATTTTTAAATTGTCTAAAGGCCTCTAGAAATCCATCGTGCAGATAATTTTCTTGGTTTCCTCTACTCGTATATCTTCCAAGTATGTAATTGGTGAAAGGACAGGGTTTCTGCTCCCGCAGAGATCTGAAATACAGATTTTCTGATCAAATGGCAGAGATACTATTTTGGCAGAGGCAGATTTACAAATCATCTGTGCGCTGCTCTCTTGCTGGGGAATGGGAGTCAGATCAGGAGTTTCCTTCACACAAACTAGATTCCCTCAGGACTGTGTGTGTATGCCTGACCATGCTGGGTGAGGAGGGCTTGGTTCTGGTGTAACATCCTGAGCTGTGCCAGCCTCTTATCAGGGAAGCCAAGGACAAGAAAGATGAGGATGAGGATGCAGAGAAGGACTCTCCCAGGATTACCAGAAACCTGAGTTCCCCTTCACAGGGGGGAACCCAGTGCCCTGTGGGCATGGCGACCCTGTGGCCAGCTCTTATACGTCTCTAGAATATTCTGCAATATTATAATAACTCTGTCTCCCAAGAATATGCAACAGGCTGTACCTTATTTATGTTGTATCTGCATCTACAGGTCTCAACTGAATTTGGGACTGCTTTGTCCAGTGCTGTGAAAACAAATCTTGGTCTTTAAGATGATTTCCAGAGAAAAGCAATAGAAAACAACCTCAAAAGTGGTAACTTGCTGGAGTTCATCAATCAGTGACGTGGTCAAGAGTACAAAACAGATATTCTTGAGCCCAAGCCATTAGAGCACTGTACCTACCTAGGAAGAGTTCCTCAGTATTTCTGGTTTCAGGACACACCATGGTTTGATATTTCTGCAGAAACATTCAGAGCTTCTGGCCAAGCATAAGAGACTCTATTCCAGGAGAGTAATGGGAGGAGGAGTGCAGTTCCCAGATGATTACTTGTCCTAAAGACAGTCACTCAAGGGCCAAAATTTGGGTGTTTTTTTCTATGCTTTTTGTGTAAATATATTATGTAAAATATGTGCTTTAAAAGAACTACAAATGCTCTACATTGCCTGGAGCTGGTTTCTGTTGTCTTGAGTGACCTCTCATCTGAAGCATGGACTGAAGCCAGGCGAAGGCTGAAGTGTGTGTGGCACACCGAGATGGGAATGAGGGCTGGCAAGTGCCATTGTTCTCCTCTTTGCCTCCCAGTGAACAGCATTTAATTCTGGTTTTGGTTGTCAGAATAGATTAGATATCTGAATTCTGGTATCCATAAGTGGTCTGTCTGATCACTAAGGTGGGGAAAACATGTTCCACAGAAGAAACTGTTGGATGCATGATTAAGCCATTTGTGTATTACCACAGCGGGATAGCCCATGTTTGCAGAAAGTCAGCTTTTGAAAAAAGCACTCCAACAATACAAAAATAATTAAATTAACAGGAGTCCTGGGGACAAAGGATTCATTTTCCCAGCAGACTGCCAGCAGAGATGAAGGCTGAGTTATCAGCTCTGTGTAAGAGAGGTCTTTCTATCAGAGCAGCAACACTCTGCTGTTCTGGGGAAGGCTCTCTCTGCAGGAACAGCACCCAAACATAAATGATCCTCACAGAGAAATGAAAACTCAAATGTGAATGATGGTACAAAACCAAACAGAAAAACAGTATTGCAAAAGGGGGAGAAAAAGAATGAGCTATTATTTTAAATGCTTACCAGCAGAGGACACATCTGTTGGCTTTTGGTAGAACAAAAGGACATTACAAAAAAAGTCAGAGAAGTGCTGCTCTACAAAACTCTTTACAGTCAGCTCTGAAATCATATGTGTACATAGCCTCCAGAGGCTTGCAGAGAGAGATATGAAAATGTCAGATCTAGTGAGGAGGTGTCCCTGCCCATAGCAGGGGGTTTGGGACTAGATGATCTGTAAGGTCATTCCAACCCCTAAATTCTATGATTCTGTGATGATTCTATGATTTTTTCTCCCACAGACAAAGTGATTATAGTTTTCTTCATAAAAGTAAAGGATGGTGAAAGAAATTTCTCAGGAGCATTGTTGCCACAGGTGTGCTGCCCTGGTGCATTCCTGTGGGACAGGCTGGTGTCCCTGCAGGGAGGGCAGCAGCCACCAGCCTCATGGGGGAACCTGACACGGGGAGAGCCTGTGTCTTCTCTCCATCAGGATTAACTGCAGCCGTTGCCTGTACGAGACTTAGAGCACACGTGTGTCTCTTCTGCTCTCCAAAAATGCCACAGGAGTGGGCAGAAGGAAGTTGTGATCCTTTCCTGACTGCAGCCCTTTTCCATACAGCATGTCCAAGGCCCATGACAGAGAGGATGAAGTTGCTCCTGAGAGGCATCCAGCACCTCGAGGTGCTCAGCCAGTGCAGGGGTGCCAGGCTGTGGGGCTCCCAGCCTGCATGCAGACTATCTCCTACCTTGGGCCAGCACCAATTCTTCCACCCCAATCCCTGCTTCTTGCAGTGGATACCTGGGACTGACAGTGGCAATAATGGTCCATCTGGTGCACATATTAAGTAAGACAAAATAAATGCAGGGAATAGTCCTGTTCTGATGTGAGGGGTAGTTAGGAGGGACAGAGGAATCTGCACAAGCCCTGCTCTGGACCAAAGGGTGAGGCAGAGCTAGGTCTCTGCTCTCCCTCTGACTCAGAAATAGATGGAGGAGATAGCTGTTAGGAACATTGGCACACATGGGCTATTTTCTCTCTCATCACTTGCTAGGCTTTGGGGGGAAAAGTGCAGAAGGAATCATCAAGGAGGAGATGTTTAGGCAGGAAGCTCTAGGGAGCACAACTGCTGCTCACACTCAGCATCCGCTCCCTGGGGAAGAAGCCATTCCCTCCATCCCGATACCCTCATTGCCTCCAGCCTTGCTTTAAATAAGGAAACGAAAGGAAAATACATTTGTGGTGCTAACACAAAACTCTCATCCCATGCAACAACAATTCTGCTTGTGCCTTGTTTTGTCCCTCCCTTACCTTTGGCTAAACATGGAAAAGAGTCCAGCTGTGGGCTGTGGAGGCACTGTGCAATGGGAACCAGCCTCAGCTGGCTTCTCTGCTCTCTGGTAATGAAGACAATTAATAATATGAGCAAAGAAGGGAGGGTCTGCCCAAAAGGAGGAAGCCAGCGTGAGCAGGACTTGGTAAACAACATCACAGAGACTTGTTTCTGCAGACAGTAAGACACAGGCTAGCACAGCTTTGTGTTTTACATCAAATTTATTGTGTTTTGGAGGAAATTGCATACAATCAATCAGGTTACTCCAGCAGCAGGTAGTATGTTTCATGTGTGCAGCCTGATCTTTTTCTTTCCAGCTACTCAGCATAATTCTTAGCAGGATTTTATGGTCTAAAGAGTAACTAAAACTATCAGCATCCGTAGGGACGTCTCTTCCTATTGGGGTTAATGACACTTTTGGAAAAATTCCTAACTGTATTCTGAAATTAAGAAGAGACATCCTGTGTTTTTATGAAAATTCAATAATATCTCTGCATCATTTCCTAATAAGTGTATCTGCAAATGTTCTCCATAGACAAAATGTACTGCCAGTGTGTCAGAGAACATTTTCTTCAACACAGAGCTTTTTATTTATTGTAATTTTTTTGTCATACATCACCATCTCAAGCCGTTTTATGAACAACAGCTGAGTGGTTTTGAGTGGAAAAATTTTTATTCTGAAAACAGGTCTGGATTTGCAAGAGAAAAAAAATCCTAATGGAGCTGCAATTGCTATAACAAAGTACATTTAAAAAACAAACCCTGATAGCTAAAGATTAATCATCTAACAGTAAGGAGACTATTGCTTAGGGAAGGAACACAGACATTGTGCTTGTGAGTGCCAGCGTAAGATAATTCCATCTCTATGTACTTCTTCACATCACCTCTGTGCCATGGCACACTGCTCCCAGCCTTGGGCTGGCACAAGTGCCCCCTTGTTACATGATGCTTCTGGGAGCTAAGCTGGCTTTTAGATGAAAAATAATGGGCTGAGTAATTTTTCTGGCAAATGAGACCCCTACTCCCATTTAAAGTGTGGCAACACCAAGGGCACTGCTGGCAGAGCAAGGACGTGTGCTACAGCACTGAGGCAGGAAGAAGCAGTTGCAGAGGTTCTATAAATTCCAGTGGCTGCTGAAGATATTATCCAAAGTTATGGGCTTATTTTCTATTTTTCTGCATCAATTTCTTAGCCAATGCTTTATCTCTGATGTCAGTGCAGTTACATGTTCATTTTCCATAGGTAGAACTCTAGTGACAAGCAAACATGTAGTTTGGGGAGTCCCTTTGCCCACAGTTATCTGCAATTTCCCCTGTAATTAAAAACAAGAACTTCAGTTCCAAATTACCTTCTTGCCTGTTACAACCCCAGGGTATCATTTGTACAATTAATTATAGCCAGACCTAACATTAATACTAGGAATTGAAAAACAAATCCCTATAAAAACAGAAAAAAAAAAAAGAGTCCATATTTCAATCATTAAAAAACAAAAGGAATCAAGGCTTTCCTTGATTTTGGATAGTCCGTAAATGTCTTGAGATAGTACCTGAAAGAAAATAAGCAAGAGAGTGAACCTGCATACATACAAGGAAACCACACAGTTTCAATACAACTGAGCTGAGGAACCTTAAAACTCCTCCAAACTGCCTTGCTTTGTAACCTCTGCAAAAGAACATTCTGAAACTATTTTCACCAGTTTATTTAATGAAGTGAAAGCTGATAATACTGTTAAGGTTCTAACAGACCTAAAGTAGAAACTTTGGGAATTCAGAGCAGGGCACCATATCTACTCCAAAGAACTACCAAAGTTGCAAGGGAACCCTTAGGAAAGGCTTCCATTTAAGAGGCTCAGTAAAAAGAGGCTTTAATACAGTGGAAGCAGCGATGCTAACCCATGTCAGATGAAATGATTGTCAGGCTCAGTTGACAGGGGCTCCAGCTGACTGCCTGCCCTTCACCCAGTCACAAATAAGCCAATTACCTTCTTGGACATAGAATTAAATTTCAGTATTTCAATTTTTTCCTGAATCTGCTCCTCCCTGGCATTTTGCAAACTGCACTCCAAGAGCAAGCAGCAGCATAGAGCAAGGAACAGTTTGATATACCTGTGATGGTGATAAGCACGTGGCCCAATGCAGCAAAGTGTGAAAAAGGCAAAGGCGAAGGCTGGAAGGGACCATGTTGCTATGGCAAAACCAAACCATTCCACAATTTCTCCAAAGTAGTTGGCTCCAGAAACATAGGTGAACAGTCCCCCTGCATCAACAGACAAAATATTTAGTTTTTACAGTCATCTCCTGCACATGGAAAGCTCTTTCTCATAAAGTCAGCAGCAGAATATGCTACCTTTCTTATTCAGAGCCCATAGCAGCAACCTAAACCCACTTCCCTGAAGCCAGTCGAACCATGCCAAATCAGGGTCTTGTACAAAACCCTTGTACAAGTACCAGAATCAAAGGTGGTTCTGACTCAGAGGCTTCCAGCACTTTCACAATTATTTATTTTCATTTGGACAAGGGCTTAGAAAGCCCATTATTAGACTTAAATTAAAATTATTAACATTAGTCAATTTTTCTTATGTCCCCAAAATATTTTGCAACTTCATTACCTTTGTAGAATGCAAAATCTGGATCTCAGTTTTGCATCTTACCTAATCACAACATCTGCAAGGGGCAGGCAAGTATTGGAAGTGAGAAACTCTGGAGGAGAGATATTACCATCCATAACAAACCAGTAGTAGGAGTCAACACCAAAACCAAGAAACGCCTGGATCCCCATCTGTATTGCTCTACAGAGCTAGACAATTCCTGGAAAGGAAATTCAGCACCTTGCGTCCTTGGTGTTATTTTTACCCCTGAAGTTTATGCTTTGAATCTTCCTTTTGCAGTGTAGGAAGTCCACTACTTCTTCTTCCTGGGCATTGAAAAGAATATTTTCTTCTTTGCAGCTGCTTTTTACAAGGCTAAAATCCTCTTCCTATGTCCCACTTCAATCTTCTCTAAATTACCCAGACCATTTCCTAAAATGTCTCCTCACAATTCATGTTTTCCAGATACTCTTGTTGCTTCTCTTGGATTGTCTGCAGCCAGCTCACACTAGCCCCTGCAGCTTAGAGGAGCACCTGTATGATACCATTATCTCTGCTATTATTGTCACTTTCCTGTGAATTCAGTCAGAAAACATTATCTATCCTGCTGCCCTACTTTCTTCAAGGAGGTGGGGGATAAGAATATACCTTGAGGAATCTTGTAAGTGACTTCTCCAGGTTTCCTCAGCTGGCGCAGCAGGAGATCACTATGAATGTTGATTCCCATTCCCAGCAGAAATAAGAGGAGGCCTAAGAAAGAAACAAGCAATGGATTAGAAAGACAGTTCTGCCTAACTATCCATACTCAAGCCCGTATTTCAGATTTATCTTTGCAGCAGGCAGTTAGGGGTCCTAACAGGGGGTGGGTTCTCTCTTTCAAGTCAGAAGTGCTGCTACCAAGAAGGCTAATGAACAGGCGAAGGACAGGTGACTGGTGACAAATAACCTTCTATGTCTGTGCCACTTGCAGGACCACTTTCCTGTGGGATCACCTGCATCACACAGCTTCAGTGTGGAGAGCAACTTTGGATAGAAAAATGACCATCCTGAGCATATTGTTCTGCTGGTAAAACCATAGAATAATAGAATGGTTTGTGTTGAAAGCAACTTTAAAGATCATTTAGTTCCAACATTTAGTTCCATGGGCAGGGACACCTTCCACTAGATCAGGTTGCTCAAAGCCTCATCCAACCTGGCCTTGAATACTGCCAGGGTCAGGGCAGCCACCACATCCCTGGGCAACCTGTTCCAGTGTCACACCACCCTTAGAGTAAAAAACATTTTCCTCACATCCAACAATCTTCTTTAGTTCAAAGCCCTGCCCCCTTGTGCTATCACTACATGCTATTGTAAACAGTTTGTTTATTGTAGGGGCTCTTTTGTAGGCCCCTCTTTAGGTACTGGAAGACTGCTATTAGGTCTCCCTGGAGCCTTCTCTTCTCCAGGCTGAACAGCCTCAACTCCCTCAGCCTGTCTTCATAGGAAAGGTGCTCCAGCCCTCCAGTCATTTTCATGGCCCTTCTCTGCACTTGCCTCCCGACATTGTGGGCCCCAGAGTTGAACACAGTACTCGATCAAAGCACTTTCAGGTGACGTGAGAAAAAGCTGACCTTCCCACGTGGCCACAGTCAGCATTTATTGAACGTTCAAGGGATACACAAAGTACTCAAGTGACACTACTAGCTGATGGCAGCTAGCCACAGCTGTGGATGTTCCTGCAGAGTAACCACTGAGCTGTAGTCAGGTGCCAATACTCTCATTTTACTGCTGGAGAAAGAGGAGCACAGAGACACAAACTCATCCAGCACATCACTGGAGCTGGGAAGGGAACCTACATCTCAGCACAGCTCAGTCTGCTGGCAGCAAGGCTGCTTGGACAGAACTATGGGCAAGCACGGAGAGCACTTACTCGCTGAAGGATGCTGAGTTTCTGGCTACAACAATCCATTTACCATATTCCATTTAGCTGAAAAACTAGAGGCATTTGATTGAGAAACTCTGCAGGTGACATGCCCTACATTTCATGCCACATTAGACACTGAGAAAACCACCTCTGACAATGACTGGGAAGCAAGGAAAGAAATAGAGGTGGTGTGTGCACTATGAAGCATAAAGAAAAAGACTAAATGCTGATAAAACCTCAACACTTCCAGTAGCAACAGAAAGCTGGTAAGAGTCTGTACAGGAAGAATAGACTATTTGGTTTTTATTTAATATTTCAAGTATGTCTAATACTGATTTTCTTTCTTTTTTCCCTATTAAATATATAGTTTATTCATCATGCAAGTTAAGTGATGTGGTATTTTCTTTCTTAGGTATGGTAGCTCTTACTAAACAGTATCCAGAATTTTTAATATGTGATGCTGTCTGAAAAGACTGAACTTGCATTCACAGTCTGAAACAGGGTACAGAAAATACCTTGGTTAGTTTGCACTTGTCATATTCCAAAACATTTCCTCAGGCCTCCATGCTAATCTTCATTTCTATGTTTGCATTTAAAAAACACCCTCTGAGCAGCACCAAAACTGCAATGCCACCTAGCTGCTCTTGTTCACTTATTCTCCGAGGGATTTCAACGGTGTGAAATTCAGCTGGGCTGTTAAGTTACGGAATATAAAGGAACCACATTAACATACAACCAGACTGAGCGTGATCTCTAATCTTCCCATGTGCTTTACACGAGAAGAAAGAGCCCTTTGTCCCTAAAGCTTCATTCATGCAGGGGTTTTGCCCTTGTTTCCTCTCTCAGTCAGAATAGCTGTATCAAGTGCAAAGCTCCCTGGCAGGGAAAAAAAATCCACAGCTTGTGCTCATGCACAGCCACTGCTGGGTGGACACTTCTGGCTGAGCAAGGGCACATCCCCATGTACCTGGGGCCTAAGATTGCATCTCCACAGCCCATAGCAGCAGGAGGCTCTGGAGTGGTGTCAGTAAAACAAGGCTGGTGATTTAAGACTAACACATAACATCATACACCTTCAAAGGTGCCTGCCTAGCAGGAAAAAAAAGACACTGCACATTTGTTTTACCTGGGCCAGCAGACAGGTCTTATGCTGATTTCCATCACAACAGATTTGACTCACATGTTCAGTGAAGATTAGGGTATAATTCAAAATGCTTACAAATTGCTTGGAGATTAGATCTTGGGAGTCCTGCAGCTGTAATTACCTGATGTAAATCTGATGTCGGTGCACCAATCGCTTGGGTATTCAGCGCAGTAAATCAGGTAGTACCCCTGGAGGAAGCCATTATAGATACAGAATAACATGCCAAAGAAAAGCAATTGCAGTGGGAAAGGTCTGCCTCTAGTGAAGAAAGGGTAAATAAATGTCCTAAGGTAGATAAGAAAACAAAGTCAGCACATTGCTCACGATAACATTGTATTTGCAATTTCTCTGCTGTAGGGAGAAAAATCTTGAAAAAACCCCACAAAATAGAAAATAGGTCAATAAAGATTAAAAAAATTATAAACAACTGCAACAATATCAGATCAGCAATTAATATAAACATGAAATACTGCAGATACCCATCTTTATCTAGTCCTTCATGACTGCACACAAGGTGGGAAGTTAAAAAGCTCATCCAGATTCACTGATGCTTTGGGAATGTCTCTGTACCTTCCTTCTCCCTTGCTGGTGAAAAGAGGAATTTGTGCCCACAAACAGGAGGCACGTGGGCATCATGGTGTTCAGACATCACTGATGTTTGTGAGGGGCAGCATCCATTGCAATATCAGTTCTCCAAATGAGCATTACTGTGCCACAAGCTTCATGGAGGAGCTTTTTTATGAAGAAGACATTCCTGATCCCACTATGAAGATCAGTCCCTGAGGGCTTTAGTCCATGGTGGCAGATGGAGTTCAAGGCAGTGTTGAGACTCCTCTGGCTCTCTCATCCCCTGCAGTGTATAGCCTAAGCTGTATTCCCCTTTCCCAGCGCCTCCCACTCCACTCAAGGACCCCCATGCATCTCCAACACCCAGCAGCTCTGTCCTGCTCTGCTCAGACACTTCCACATAGAGGCAGAGCAATGTATTTTGGCTGCTTGGGGGAGCTAGTTTGTCTCCAGTCCCTGTCTCCCCTCCATGATTTCAGACTTTTATAGTAAGAAGAGCTAAAGCCCTAAGTTTAATATGCTAAATACCAAGATTGCCACACAGCTCCAGCACCTAGGGCTTCCTTAGACAAAAGCTGTGCTAACACTGGCATTCACATGTGTGAGCAAATAACTGGTGCTTGTATAGTTGCTTGTATGTTCATATATGTTTGCTTCTGGTGGGAGTATCCCTCTTGATACAATCCATATCATCCTTGGGAGAGTGAAATGGAGAAGTTATATTCATATTTAGTAGGTACTTTCTTACTTGGCTAATTAAGTTCTGTAAGTAGTGAAATCTACATTCTTAATTTCTTCCCTTTGCCCTCTTGGGCTTTGGATGGTGCTCATCATACCAGTATATAAGCATTGTTGATAAGTAATTCACATCCCTGGTTGCCAATATCAGCTTAAGCAAGCTGAGGCATAAAATGCCATAACATTATAAATCTAGATTAAATTATAGAGAGCATGTCTGGAAGTGAGTAAGCAGAGTACAAGCAGCAACATGTTAATGTATTCACTGCTTCCCAAAGCAAGGCAAGAGAGATTTCCAGCAATTAAAACAGTTGTGATACAGAAGTGCTAAATACTTCTAAATATAGTGAAACATAAGAGGTATGGGAAATATTTTTCATAGTGGTATCACATTTGTCATAATTATTAAAGTATGGAAAGGAATGCTTTTTGGAGGAATGTTACTAATAATCATTCATTTTGCCCTTTGGGAATGTGATGCTGGAGTCATGAGTAGGCGAGGCCAGTGTTAGCAATCCAACCTGCCTGCTGAAGTCACATTGACAAATTGGACCTGAACAGTTATGGGAAAAAGTGTGCAACTCGCAAATGCAGGCTTGGAGAAAGCAAATTGTATAGAGGAGAGAGTGACACCAAACCACACAAAGTGAGTTTAGGAAGGGGATTTATACAGCAGATTCAAGTGGCACTGGCACTGCTTTACCCTTTGTCAAAACCAGTTATGTTTAAGTCTCTGAATTTTTACAGCTGATGCAAACAGAAGTTTCTTAACTCCCAGCAAAGCTGGTTGTTTCCATGCTGCTTCCTGATGCTGCTGTTACAGGATACAGGTTATGGGCCCTTGAAAGGTGACTTATCCTGAAGGAACAGGAGGGCAAAAATCAGCCATAGCATCTACCATGGATGATGTGGACATGGAACAGAAAGAACCTGCATGCAAAATATAAGTCCAATGGCAGGGAAGCCAGGAGGCACCAGCTTTGTTGTTGTTTAGGGACAACATTGCATTGCTGCAATCCTGCCTCATAGCAGTTTGAACAATCCAAGTCAGGATTTCATCCAAGAATCTTTGTTGTGGAACAAATTCTGCAAGGAAATCTCTGTGGGCCTGTAAATCCAGAGGCCAGATTCAGTTCTCTGTATCAAACAATGCCCTAAGTATTTGTTTTAATACAGCACTTGTGAGAGTTGTACTACATAGCTACTTGAGGGTGCACAAACAATTCCTGATGGGGTTTTAAAAAGTAACAGAGATAAAGCAGGGACATTTAATAGGTTTAAATATTCTATGGAAGAGTCTGCATCTCTGGTGGAACTATTCTGCAGTGTGAAAATCAAAGGGGTACTGAAGACCATCATTTTAAAATAACCAAACAATCTGGCCTTTTGGATTTTGCCCAATGACTAATTTGACCTTTTTATTTCAGTCTAGTATTGATGAGCAATTCATTATTCCTTTATTATCTTTACTGGCCAAAGGCACTTCATCTGACTAAACCATTGACAACAGCTTCTTTTTAAATGAGTGAATAATGAATTATTCATCTTCTCCCCCATCATTTAGTTTCCAGAAGAACAGGTTTTGAAGTAAAAATCATTTGACATTGCATTTCATCTTAAAGAGATGAGAGAGAGACTCTCACCTAAAACAAGGGAAACTGTAGGTTTGCTCTTCTGTCCACAGTAAGTGGAAATCTTTTCACAAATGTTACCATAATCCACCAAGAGTGGGCTCTGAGTCCTCCAACAACTTGTCACTTGGAGATGTTTATGCTCCTGCTGTGTCTTCTTCTCTCCAGAGCCTAGATACAGTAGGTCAGACAGTAGCACTTCATGTTTTGCAGCCTGGAAACTCAAGGTGTTTTACATCTGGGGCAACTGGGTCAAGGGCTTAGGATGGGCAGCTAAGAATGGGGGGCACCTGCCTCCCTCCAAGCCTGTGGGTCACCAGGCTCCTGCTGTGCCTGCTCATTTAGTCCTCTGCCACCAGGCCCTCTTCTGGGTCTAACTGGGATGAACAAGGGGATAGGAATTGAAAAGATTGCAAAGGCAGGTAGGGCTGATGTGGTGCATTTCACCTGGAAGGCAAGTGCTGGCCATAACCCGACTTTGCCCTACCCATGCTGGGGTACTGTCTGAATGTCCCGGGCCAGCCCCTGTGAACCTAGCCAGACTCCAGAAGAGAGTTATGGACTCCTCCTGACCAGGAATGCTCTGAGTCCCTGCAGAGATTTTTCATCTCTCCTTGAACAATGTGGGATCCCTGTTGAGGATGAATCAATTTATTGGCATTTTCTCAAGCAAAGACCTCTCTAAGTCAGGCAACTCTCTATACTCTTTGCTGCAGCTCCTTTCTTAAGGGGGTGCTTTAATTCTGTTGTATGTACAAATATCTGCACCTCAGGTGGTAAGCAAAACTATGTGGTTTGTGTTACACTAACTACAGACCAGCCAGACCTGAAAGGACTTGCCTGATATCAAACACTGGAGTTACATTTGATCTGTCTTGTGCACAGTTTGAAAAGATTGGTGTCCAAACCTGGGGAGATTACACCGACCTCAAACCAGTTTTATTGGCACCAACAATTAATATCATAGGAATCTTTGCCATTACCAAGATGCTGCTGGCACCCTTGGCATACCTGACCACTTGGATGAAGGCTCAAGTTGTTCACAAGCATGATGGACTTCTACCTGGGGTATTTGTGATGCCTTGCACAAAGCCTCTAATTATTCTGGAGAGTTATGGATGTCAAATTACATGTCCCAAAGACATCTGCTGCTGAAGAATCTGTACATTCTCATTTTTGAGCCTAGTCCTGTAGATTATTTGTGAATTTCACTCTGGGATAATTTTTAACTTCTACCATTTTTGAGTTGTGTTACACTGACTCTCATTGAATACTTATAGGAGAAGACTGTCAAGTCTATTCTCCATGTATAGCCAACACCAGAACACAATCTGCACCTAACTTTCCTGTGGCAAATTACAAATTTTCAGCTACCCCAGGCTGGGTTTAAACAAATGGTTAAATTGTCAGTTCCTAGCAGCAGGAAATCTTACTAACAGTTCAAAGGGAAAGTAAAGCAAAATACTCCAAAATACTTTCAAAAGTGCAATGAAACATTTTAACCCTCCTTCACCATGGTGTCTACAGATGCCCCAGCATCACAAACCAGGTAGAGCCTCCTCACCTGTCATATTCCTCTGCTCAAACATCCTACCTTCAGATGCTTTGTCCTTCCCCACCTACTACCATACTGCAGTTATGAACACTGCAGTAGTCCAAGAAGGTCAACAACCCAGGAATATTTAAACAAGGAGAGCAAGTAGGTTATTAGCAGCCACTTGTACAGTGCAGGGTGGATCGTGTCCCCTTGGTTAAGGTCTGCATAGTGAGACATGCTCTGTCACAGCCTTGGGCACAAAATCTGAGCTACAACTCATGTGACAAACACACCAGCAATGCCAGCAGGCATCCTCTGGCAATATCCACTGTAGGTACAGGACAGACAGCAGATCTCTTGACAGCTGTGTTGCAGTTGTAACTCATGTCCTAATGTAAGAAGGCTGTAAGTTCAGGAGCTGAGCTCTTTTTCTGGAGCTGATGTCTAGCTACAGCTGCCTGCAGAGCCCAACAGTGCAGAGGGTGTGCAGTGGTTGTTGTTCATGCCACTGCATGACTGCCAGCTGCAGGGCACATCTTCCTGGCCACTTTGCCCCTAATTCCTGCATCTTTGGGACTGTGTGAAACCACCAGATAACTAATCACTTGCTGGTCCATGGCCCAGTTTGTAAACTCAACTTAAATCACTGAACAGCAACAGTAAGGGGAGCAAGAGAACTCCCTTTTTATTTCAATCATGCTGATTTATGTATCTAGTGATGACTAACACAAAGCTATCCTTTCCAAGCCACATGCAAAACATCCTACTTCCACGTTCCTGCAAAGGTCTTTGGACAAACATTTGATGACTAT